CATGTATCAAATAAATCTGCTCACCTGCAATTTATAATGGAGCATTGGAGTCACCTTCGTGCACGAAAGTTCGTTCAATCTCAGCTGTTTGTCAGTTTTTAGTTCGTCAGTTATGTCAGTTATTTGCTGTTGTATCGCCGATTTTCAAAATGCAAATGATCTGTGTACTTTATTTTCAAAGAACAGTTTGTTTTGTTATTGTTTGGTTGGTGTCTTATATGAAACTGCGACATTGCGCAATTTATTGGACAGACTTGTTTAAGATCACACAGCGTAATTTGGGTGGCATTTTATTTCGTATTTTTAAATCATCTTTTTATTTTGGACAATATCTGTAAATTTAGTTTCCTGCTCTTAATTGGGAATACATACTTAATGGTTTTAAATGCTCCTGAAATTAAGCGCTGCTTGACCAGCCTATATTGTGTATGTATGTGACGTCACTGAAGGCCTAAGGTTGAAATGCACGGCCCGCCACTGAGGCCGCCATATGTGCCCCACATTGTGAAATGAGTTTGACACCCCTGATTTAGAGTGTTCCATTAACCTGCCACACATGTTTTTGGAATGTGGGAGGAAACCAGATTACCCAGAGAAAACCCACGCAGGCCCGGGGAGAACATGCTAACTCCGCACAGGAAGGCTGGAGCCCAGATCAAACCCACGACCTCTCCACAGGTTGACGTGCTAACCACTCGACCATGGTGCTGCCAAAAATTTGTCGCTGTTAACATAAAATAAAAATGAAAACTGTAACGACATTTTATGTTTACAAAACTAAGTAAAACGATAATTAGAGGGAAAATGTCATTTATTAAAAATGTAAAATCCTTCAGTACTTGTTTAACTTTACAATCAAGAGAAATGTCACAAATCAGCCCATTTCTTTGGGGGGGGGTGGGGCGAGGGTGGAAATGAAAGTAATTTTTTGTCTTATGTTAAAATATGTTAATGTAAAAAAAAAAAAGTGTCCAATTTTTGCCAATTCTCATAGTGCACAGAGGTTAATGTTAACGTGTACATGTAAACACGTATTTGGAAGATGAAACTGACAAATAGCATGGTGTGATCTAAAAGATGCTGATGCTGCAAGTTGCCATGGGTGATCGCTGTACTATTTAATTAGAGATAAAGAGCTTGGTGTGCTCGCATGCTGGCTTTTATCCAGCTCGTATGAGCGTGTATTGGAAAGCTGATTAGGGATCAGCTGTGACCGAGTGTTGCAAGAGTTAAGAACCGGCCCCGCAATTTGGACGACGGGCCTCATCAAGACACACAAGAGGGACAAAGTTGCCCATGTGGGTTGGACTGGAGTCACACATCAACCTTGACTGCGCTAATTAAATTACTCACGATTGGTTTCAACTCTTCTTCTACAACTCTCCAGTTGGATAGACGAAGAGGACCACTTCTCAAACTATTATTATGAACCGATTATCGCATCCATTGATTGTTCAGTGTTCTGTAAATATTCCTCTATTATTATCGAGACACAACCATTGCTTTATCCTATCCTGCTGTACATTCAATTTCACCCATGCATTGGCGCCTATGCCACCTAAGCCGTTGCTAAACTCGCATTAAGACTGAGATGGAAGTTGTGACTGTGACTTGCCCCCACGGCCTTCGCTCTGTTACCTTCCCCCAGAGGGTCCAGTGTGTGGATCATCATCTGGAAGATGGTGCTCCTCAGCGAGGTGTTGTGGAGGGAGGCCGAGCTCCCGCCTCGCTGCAGGGCGGGACGCACCTGCATACAACGAACACAAAAGCGATGACAAGCGATGACATGCAAACGCGGCGTGTGCTGCTGATGTTCTGACTTGCGACACGTGCTGCTTAAAGAATGGGACATGCTATCCCAAAGCAGGAGGTGACCAGGCTTGTAACCAGTGTGGGGAAGACGCGCTTGTGGCAGTCTAAGGTTCTTCCACACGGACAGCCCGGATTGTTTTCAAATAAATTACAAAACTGCCGACTATATTTACTCCAATTAGTTTCCCAACCTTGCAACGGGTGGACCACATAACCCGGATGACTGGAAAATGCTCACAAAAAAATGAAATACAACTTACAGTATATTATCATTTTAACCGATGTTAAAACAGCATTTTGAATGAAGATAGCACTTGGATCTGAATAGATCTTTATGGCAGGTTTACAGTTTAAAATGTATTTTGTAACTTCTGGCCAGTTTTCCCGTTTTCCCTGCAGCTTATCCTGTTCAAGGTCGCTGGAGCCTGTCCCAGCTGACTTCTGGCAAAAGGCACACAGCAGCCCTTTCGCACTCACATTCACATCGCCCGTGAGTGGGAAAACCGCACCCAGGCTGCCTGCACTGTGTTTCTGGCAAGTCATTGAAGCTGAAATATGGGCCAAGAAAATGACAAACATCCGATTAGTACCCTGAGTTTGGCTTTGTCCTCTTGGAGATTTGACGGTTTGCTCATTAAAGAGCTCTGAGGTGGCTCCGATTGCGGTCTCGATTTCTCCTCCTCATTCGACACGGCAGCAGGAGTAGCAGCAGGTGGAAGGGGAGGTGGAGAAGGCGGCGAGGGTTCGCTCTCCTGTGACATCAAGGACAGAGTGTGTTATCGTCGTTTCTTCTTGAAAGACGTTTGGACACGTTTGAAAAAGAGCAGGTATAATGTGTGAGGTCTTACCGATACTCATTCATCCATTTTCTAGCATTTAGCCTGTTCGGCATCATAGGAGAGCTGGAGGATAATCCCCCTTTGAGACGCTGACTAGACTCTTGACTGGTTGCTGGTCAGTTTCAACAAATCCAGAACTTTTGCCTGTGAGGCGGAAACGCTTGCTCCTACCGGTGGAGTAATTTTATCTAATCTCATCTCATCTTGATTGATATTTCATAATTTATTATTCTTGTGTGTCAAAGCATTCATTCATTCATTTTCCGATCCGCTATATCCCCACAAGGGTCGAGAGGGGTGCTGGAACCTATCCCAGCTGTCTTCGGGGGACACCCTGAACCAGTTTCCAGCCAATCGCAGGGCACACAGAGACGAACAACCATCCGCGCTCACACTCACACCTAGGGACAATTTCGAGTGTTCAATCAGCCTGCCATGCATGTTTTTGGAATGTGAGAGGAAACCGGAGTACCCGGAGAAAACCCACGCAGGCCCAGGGAGAACATGCAAACTCCACACAGGGAGGCCGAAGCTGGAATTGAACCCGGTACCTCTGCACTGTGAGGTCGACGCGCTAACCACTGGACTACCGGGCCGCCGTGTGTCAAAGCAACAACCCCTAATTTGAATCAGGTCATGGTTCCGTTTGTAAATTTTTTTTTTTAACCACCGACTCTCCTCTCTTTATTTTACACAGCTCCTGCGCACTGTTGTCTGTGACATTTGATAAGCTATGAAAGGAGTCAAACCAACGGTGAACCAAGTTCCTACTCCGTTTGGAAAAGGACTAGAGTAGCATTAGTTGGCCCCTGGCTCCATACTCGTCAAGCAACTACGAGGAACACAGTCGACTGCCTTTCCCAAGCATGTGTACTTGTTGGGTAAAGTCTCATGCACCCGCCAGTCTCCTTAACAAGGATGCAGAGCTGCTCCAGAGTTGTCGAACCAGAACACGAACCACATTGGACCTCCCGAAGGCTTGACGAATAGCTGTGATCTCTTCTCCAGTCCTCTTGAGCAGAATTTGCCAGGAAGGCTGAACAGTGTGAGCCCTCACATGTCAGGCTTCTTGAAAGTGGCAAACAGGCATCCGGACAACAATTCAGGATGCTTTGCTACTATGTATTTTCGGGAGCCGTTGTCCTTTCACTGAGGCCACTTTTGTATCATGCTTAACGACGCTTGTGAATGTTCTCATTCATCCAGGTCATTTCAATCTCAAGGCATTGACTCGATCACAACTGAACCGTTCGGGTTACTCGCCAGGATGCTGGTGGGAAGCCAGTTGGCTCGGTCCCTAACTAACCTGGTTTGTGAACCGAACCCTGAGCAGCAAAGTATGCTTCACGATGTTCCCAAAATATAAATGCAACAATTCGTTGTGGTTTTGGACCGTCGGTCGTCGCACGGTTGTCGTCGGTCGCGCTGTCGCGGCGTCCTGCCTGTTCGGCTGTCGAACGGTGCTCCGTGCCTTCTCCGCCCCTCTGCGCCCCGTGGTGGGGGTCGACGGGGCCTGTGTCTGGGCTACGCTGCTGTGGACCGTCCTGTCGCTCCCCCGTCTGCCCGTGGGGGGTCTGCTCTGCTGTTCACTGGCGGCGATCTT